TTGCTTGTCAAGATAAGGACAGTCTGTATGGTGATAAGTGAGGACAGACTGATCCGAAACCCTGGGGGATGAGGCATACTAACATCATCATTTAACTGGGAGGCGAATTGTTCAGCATGGATCCGAATGTCAGGAGAGGGTTGGGAAGAATGTTCATGCTTTAAAGAAGGACGTGAGTCACAAGAAATCGGGGCGAGGGATAAAACATCATATACCTGAGAGATAAAGTCCAAAAAATCGTGGGAGGCCGAACTTAATCCTCAGGAAAAGTATGGAAAGGCACGGAAAATTCAATAGGTGGAAACAGATTATCAAAGTCCTCGTCAGCAGCAACAAGTTTAACATGTTCAGGAGGAAGCAGGGGAATGTCAGGAGATAGAGGTTGACCCATGTAACGTTCAAGCTCCCTGCAAATAAATGTTGACAAATCTTCTGTCAGGTCACCCGCACCTGAGACCTGGAATAAAGCGCTTATTCGAAATTGATATACCTGAAGTGGTGACATTGACCTCGGAATTCATGTTTTCCTTCAAGAGTCGACACAAAGGCGAATGTACATATATATATAAAAGAGGCAACTATAATGAGTTAGAATTAAGGTACTTCGAAAGAAAACTGGGTTATTATAAAGTATAAACACTTCGAGAAGAAACTATCTCAAATTGTTTAAATCAAGTCAGAATAAAGAAACACGTCCGAATACAAGCGCGACCAAACGAAAAGTGATAGTTCGGTAGAGTTGCATAGAGGGATTCACATGCGTCACGTGAGTATACTACACAGTTTCTGAGCACATCTGGTTGTCTCCCAAGCCCCTCCTGGGCTTGTATGTGATTTTAAACCAAAACAACTGCAACGATAGATAGATATAGACACTTGGAATCACTTGATTACAATAGGGGATCCGGAGGTTTGTTGCATGCATAAAGAAAAAGTTCGCATATAGAGAGCAGCAATGAACGAGAATAGTTAATCTTGTGAAAGGAGGGAAGTACCCTATCGGAAATAGTGTGATGGTCTATAGCAACAATTTACCTCCTATTCTTCTATCCAGCAACTGAAATCAATTTTTATTCAACTTCCTTGCTTGATATTCTCCATTTCAACATGCTGCAACTAGTTCCTTATTTAAAAAGCTTCTCCCCCACATCTTCTTAACATTATATGACTGTTCAATAACCTATATCCATTTTCAGTTATTCCCATGGTATCAAAATCCTCAATTTCTGAATCCACCCATTTTATTCCTATTATTTCTAACATTACATTAACAATATTTAACCCTATCATTAAATAATTTTAAAAGAATTTTGGTCCTCTGAACTTATTCTAAACTATTATCTCCCATTCAATTTCCAATAGCTTTACTCCCAACAACACTTACCTGCTCATTTCCACAAATCAGCTTCTTCATTCTACTGTTTGCTTTACACTCACTAGTAATACTTGTAGTTGTATCAGCATTCAAACCCTCATCACTATCTAATACATGTTTAAAGTCCCCAGTATAATCATATTTAGAGCCTGTTCAATAATTTTAGCCTCTAATCTATTCAGATGTAACCTATCCATTCCAAAGTACTTCTATTACCCAGATAACCGAGTTTAAACATTCAGTCCATCACCCAATCTCCTACATATATTACACAGTCCTTGGTCTTATAACTTATATTCAATTATATCGACCTACTCAAAATCTCATTCCCACAATTTATTCTGGGAGCACCCTTGACAAAATCACTTTGTGCTCTATTTCCTTAAAAGTTAAATGTCATAATTATTTTTCTGTACCTCTCAATCAGTGTTTTTGATCTTGTCTTTCCCACATTATTACTATTAGTACATATCAATAACTGCTGCATCTACTACAAAGCAGGATTCCTGCTGGGTTCTCTAATCACCTCATTCACCCTATTAAGCACGTAACATACCCTTTCTCTCAGAAAATATAATTATTTTGTCTCTACTAACCTCACAAACTACTGTTTATATGCTTAACTAAAGAATCCCCAACTGCCAGTGCCCAATTTCAGAACCTTGATTCCAATGTAACATTATGACAGGTACGCTAAACTTTCAAAACTCTATGTTGCGTCAGTGGAGGTCACGTGACTAGTATCACGCCACGTCCTTCTCGAACATTCACGTCCCTTCGTGAATTGTCGGGAGACTACTAGATTGGGGGTAGTCTTGTATATATATAAGACGGTCACAACGTGACGGAGGTGTGAGTAATTGAACTGCAGTCAGAGAGTGTGTAATTGAACTGAGTATTGTTGAAGTCGAGCACGTGAGACGTTTGTTATAGCGCGACTGTTGAAATTAAGTGTATTGCAAAGTTATATTCAGAAAGAATAAACCAGTTTTATTTAAGAAAGGACTCGTATCGGTAAAGTTTCTTCGGTAAGAGTTTTAACGGAAAATTAACTAACGAACCGAGATGTAACATCCACCTACACTACACTTTATGAATTTAAATCCCTCTTTATACCTTTCTGAATTTGCCATTAAATCCTCCCTCTTAAATACAATTTGCTCGTAATTTTTTATTGTTAAACTAGTTTTGATGTTACCAATTTAATTTCTAAATAAGCAAAATGAAATCACACCTTGAAGATCATATTATACGGCGTAGTTTAACTGTTTGCCATGATATGTCACTGTCAGTAAATTTTAACGGTGAGAACAAAATAAAATTCATTGCATATAAATTATAATAATTATACTTCAAGAGTTTTCGATATATTATACATCTACAAACACATATATATTGACATTCTAGAATACAATTAAAATATAAACTGTATTTAATGCATGCCTAACCTTACAATTAGTAATAGCGCCCTTCCCTTATTAAAAAAAAGAAATAATGAAAATATGTGTTTTATCAAATGAACAGTTCACGTTTCGCGCAGTCCTAGACAAACGGAAAAAAATTACATAATATTAAGTTATTTAGCGAAATTTACAATTATTAGAATCGGCCTTGTGGTTAACCTAGAAAATTTATTTTAAAAATGAAATTATTTTAACACAAAGTTTCTACCATATGAAAACGCCTGAGCCGTTAACTTCAATATGAAAAGTTAAAATATCGTATTTTGTTCAATATATATTTTTAACATTCAGGGGATATATTACTATAGGGAATCGATAAAAATTAACAATATTAAACAAGGTGAACTAACACTTATTCCCAACTATTCTGAAGATAACCATACAACTATAATGTACCCACTGAAAAAGAAAACTAGCTAGTTAGTCACCGTAAGGGTCACTAAGGATGTATTCTCGTTTTATTACAAATTCTCAAAAAACAACAACAACATGTATATGTATTATTTGTCGATTAACGACAATTTTCGGTTTCTTAGCTTAAGAAACACAGAATTCCAAAGAATCTATGCAACTATTTTTAATAAACTGCTATAACCCTAAAAGATTTTAATTTTATTTAAAACATTGTAACGGATTCGTTATCATATATTTATTTTAATATCAAAGTTTGTTTGTATTAAATTTACATTTAGAAACATACATGGCTTATACTGTTAAATATGTATTGCGAAACCTCCGCCTATTCTCCAAAGTTGTAGAAGATTCTCGAGAGAAAGAATCAACAATATGTGTGTACGTAAAAGCTTGTGTTAGCTCCAGTATTGTTACATAAAACTGAAATTTCTAGAAAACCTCCACACACCTATAAATATAATCAATGCGACGCGCCAAAAGGAGAGTATCTATTATTAGTTTGCTATAGTCACGATTATTAACGCTTATTACTCGGAAACTTCAGATATTTGACCAGGAGCACTTACAAAGTTCGAACATTACAACACATTTAACTTCAGTGGATTCTCATCGGACGTTAGTATTTTTACGAAAATATTCCATAACGTCACGGTGGAAAACCCGGTGTGTGTGGCTGATAAATAACGAAGGACAAAGCTAGCTAACTTCCCGTTAAGCGAATCGTACCTAGATGAACTCGTAATTAACTCGCTCATCGTGAACTCTCGATAAGATATCAAGGAAGTTCCTTACTAGAAAGAAGACTTTATATTGATTGTAAGTTTGTGAAACTTTTGTTTATAAGTCATTGTTCGTAATAACTGTTGTTGTAAGTTGTATTGTTGTGTGTATATTAAAACGTATTTGTGTTAAAAAAGAAATCTGTGTGTATCAATCTTGTTGGCAAATATCATAAACTGACTATATATCGGTATATATTTAAATACTATACCCAAAGTACAATTTAACAACTAAATTTAAATTATCAGTTAACTCAATTTCAGACCATTTGAAATTCTAATACGTAACAACGTCTGCTACAAAATTTGTCCCTCATAAAATATATCATATTCAATCAAGAAATATCCATAATGCTAAAACATTATTTAACTCAAAACCGCTAGTGTTGACATAAAGGTAGGATATAGAAAATAAAGAATGTGTGTTACTCTCTGCACTTCTCTTGATGGAGTTAATTGGAAAAAACAACAACATGTTTTGTTTGTTTGTTTGTTGTTAAGAGGAAAGTTACACAATGGTGGGCAATCTGTGCTATGCCCACCATGGGTATCGAAACCCAATTATTAGCTTTATAAACATTCAGACTTACCACTGAGTCACTGAGAGGGCAAAAAAAAGGTCTTTAATTTCGATATATTTTGAAGTAAATAGTAATATATATTAAAGACAAATACAAAAAAGAATTATCAATAGTATTATTAATTCCATGTTTGATCTGCGGACTTACAACGCTAGAAACCGGGTTTCGATACCCGTGGTGGGCAGAGCTTTGTGCATAAATTCAAACAAACAAACAAACTAAACCATGTTTGATTTGAACACTTCAATATGTAATTAGCGAAAATGTTTTCAGGGTGTGAAAGTGACTACAAGATAAATCTAGAAATGCCAGGAGAATTCTTTGAACAGTTTTTATTGTAAAATAAATATGTCACTAATAGATATGATTTATATAGAAAAAATCTTGCCTGCTAAGGACAAAGTAAAATTTTTCCAAATTTCGCCAAATTTGTTGTACGCTTTACAGGCATAAATTCCGACATCTTCAGGCTGAAAGTCTAAGATGATTAGACTTTGTCGTTTCATTTCTAGACGAGGTGACATTGTAGAAACAGGTTGGTTGTTACGATACCATATCAAGTATGGCTGTGGACTACCTCGAACTGGACACCGTAATCTTACTTTCTGGTCCCGAAAAACTTCGAATTTTGTTGGTAACTTCTTTCGCCATCGTGGGGCTTCTGAAAACAGAAAAATGTTACATTTCTAAAGGAAATTAATTCATTGCATTTTAATAACTTTTAATGTATTAGTGCTCGTGTCAATCAAGTTTGCAAACAGACGTTTCTCTAGACATTAAGCAAAGTAACAAATTTATGTAATGACCACTTGTATACATTATACGTAGAATTAGAGTTCAATTAGATCATTATATTTAAGCATTTGCTTGCAAATGTATATATAAATATATATATATATATACAACGAATAATAAACTCTTATTTAAACTAAGTTTAACTTAACCTTTACACACTGGTGGGTTTTTAATGCATATTAATTTCTTATCACTAGGTTATGTTACTTATCCAAAGAAAGACTTTGGGAAAGCTTTATTATAATAACTTAGAAAAAATTTAGAACAAAATGTAAGAAAAAAGTTGTGTCATAGTTAAAGTATTATCCATAGCTTAAATAAACAGTAGTAGTAGTATTGTTAGTAAAATTTAAGAGAAACAACTCTCAAACAATGTTTCAGTTCAATTTTCATTGAAGCTAGATGATGGCAAGGCTTTTTAAAAAAACTGTTTTTGTCAGCACCAAGTCTGACATTACAAGGAACTCAAAGCAATATAAATCATTGAACTGGGAATTCCATATTTAGATACACAGCATGTGAGGTTTTAGATAAGATTTTCAACATGCAACGGGAAAAATCTTGTAACATAAACATAAAAGGAAAGTTTATTTACCGGCCACGATCTTTCGCGTCTGGTTTGTGCTGCTGCTGACTCCAGACGTCAGCACAAGCGGCTGTTGTTTATTGATCGCTTGGTTGTGGCTACTATGTCACGCAGCACACGTGCGTAATTATACACAGCGATGTGGAACTCTTGAGCTCCGTAAAAAATACCTTACTCACATATTGAGACCTACCAAACATAAGGCACATATATGCTCAAAACCCTCACCATTCACAAGTAGTTCCCGAAACGTGACCATTATTAGTCACTTAAAATCTTATAAGTACTTTCAAAGATTCTATGTAATTGAATAGTTTTAATGTAATCAAGTTGACTGCGTATAACATTTAAACAGACTAATAAATTAACGTGCGTCTTCCTGAGCCGTTATCCATCGCTATTTTTTTCAAGCTCAGTAGTCTGATAGAAAATTAACCTACAGTTTACCTATATTTAGTATTAATGTCTTGGATTGTGCAAATTACAGTGCAAAATACCGGCAACGTTCAGTAATTCATGCATATGAGCAGTGCAACGAGTTGCCTTTATCTGACTTTCGTTGGACGGGTATAGGTTGATGGTTAGGGTGCCTGAGCTGCGAAGTGGAGTGTTCATGGCTCTCATCCTGTTGCCACAAAAACGTGCTTCGTACTTTGGTGCGATTTAACCTCACTATTTGGTCAGACAAGAGTAGCCAAAGAATTGATTGTCTACCCTCTAGAATTATCAGTTCAAAATTCGGACTGGCTATGCGCAGATGGAACCTTGTGTAGCTTAACACGAAAATTCTAAAAATAAAAATAAACGGGGTATCGTAGATTTATTCACATTTTTACTATATGTATACTGACTTTAATTCTAAATTTCGCCTGAAACAGTATTGCGTAGAAAATATTTTGAAATAACTCCTACTTTCCGTGTTCCTGTAAAAGCAGTCAATTACTTAGCAGGTTGAACTACTGTTACGGTGCTATTTTTGTGTGCAAGACAATCGGTTGTTGTAGTATTTGATTCATTTAGGTATATTCATATTTGAGCTGTATTAATATTACTGGTATTAACAGAATGTTAATTCATCTCTTTGAACATTATCCAGAAAAATTTAACAATTACTACTTTTAATTAAATGCAAAACAAAACATCATAGAAAATAATATATTGTGACATTCATAGGTAAATGGACACCTTTTTTGTTTTGATGAATTTAGGATCAAAATACATAATTGTATATGCACATATGTAATTCTGTGTTGTTCAGAGTTTTTTTTTTTTTTTTTTTTTT